TGCTCTTCCGATATAATCAATCTTATGATTGGCCATTTGCGAGTCCAATCAGGACTCGTAACACCGGTCGCGCTTCTCTGATAATCTAGGACTCTAGCCAGACTCTCCTTCTAGGGACTTTAGTAATAGTCGCTCGATTCAATTCGATTGTCGACCACGCGTCGCGACGCGTCATCGTTCGCCTCTCTCGTCGACTCATCTCGCCCAATCTCGTCTGGTCTCGCCGCCGCCGTCGGGGCCGTCGGGGGAGTATTTTTGCTGAGCTGGTCTCGTGTTTACGTCTGGAGGATTCGTCGCGAATCGACTCGCCCCTCCCGTCGCATCCTCACCCTCGTCCCTCCGAGTTCCCCGAGTCTCGCGACCCGATCCGACCTCGCGTGCGAGCCACGTTCGCGTGGAGATTCTTTCCTCCCGGCACTTTCCCCGCCTTCCCGTCGACGGCGAGAGAAAGAGAGAGAGAGATAGAGCGAGAGCGAGGCGGACGGACGCGTGTTCCCCCCCCCCCGTGTTTACCTCGTGGTAAATCCAGGCCAGGTCGAGTGTGTTTCATTGCGTTTCGTTCACGCGCGGCGCAAACGATGAAGGTGACGGTGACGACGCTCAGCGACGACAGCGTCTTCGTTCTCGACGTGAGCGAGGAGCTGGAGCTGGAGAACTTCAAGGCGTTCTGCGAGATCGAGAGCGGCGTGCCGGCCCACGAGATCGTGATCGCGTTCAACGGCCTGCCGCTCATGGACGACAAGAAGTCGCTGCGCGACCACGGGATCCGCGACGGCGACGCCGTTATCCTCCAGCATATGCACCAGAGCGGCAGCGACCTGAACTTGCAGCCGTTCAACAGAGGTATGTATACACCTAACGATAGTGGTCAATTCCATGTGAATTATCCAAAAATTTCGCTTTACGTAAAATGCCCCCCCTCCCCCCCCAAAAAAGTCCCCCCAGTCTAGCCTTATTCATTTTTATGCGCTGTGTCACATTTGAATCGGCTTTTTATCGTTTATCTTGTCGACAGCGAATGTAGATACCGATATACCGGGCTTTGCTCGAGTGCAGAAACCTTGGCCTTTGGCCTCCCCGCCTTGCCAGTCTTTGCAACGTTCGATCTTGACACTCCGTTGAAAAATTGATTTTGTTATCTCCTTTGCGCTGTGTACACCGGCAACCATAATATCTTGCAAACAAAAAAAATGAACGTACTAAATTTGAAGAAACGTCGCCTCTAGCCATTCCATTACTGGACTTCAGTTCCATCAGAGTTCCCGGGGCCAGCAACAATCAGCAGCGCCCGTCGCCGATCGCGAACAACCGGGTGCAAAATCCCCGCAGCGAGGACGATCCGGCTATGATAAAGAACATGTTCATGGCCAATCCGGATCAGCTGGCGTTGCTGAAGCAAAATAATCCCAGACTGGCCGACGCGCTGCTGTCGGGGAATCTCGGTAAGCGGCAGAATTTTCGAATTACGTCGTATTGCGTTTTTTTTTTTGTTGATCTTCCGGTCTAAATATTCGTGTATTATAGATCGATTTTCAACTGTACTCAGAGAGCAGATAGCCGCTCGAGAAGAACGGCAAGCGCAACGGCTGAGAATGATGAACGCCGATCCCTTCGACACCGAAGCGCAGCGGCTGATCGCCGAGGAGATCAGACAGAAGAATATCGAGGCGAATATGGAGGCCGCGATGGAGTACAATCCGGAGACCTTCGGCACCGTCGTTATGTTGTATATCAATTGTAAAGTCAACGGATTTCCGGTGAAAGCATTTATTGACTCAGGTACAGGTCGCCAACTTGAAGCGTCATTTCTAGTAGCAAGTAAAGCAGCGTCTGCAATGAAACTTTAAAGGCCCATCTACAATGAGAGTAGTAAGTTGTAAGCTGTAAGAAATTGAACAATCAGAGTCGAATATGAGAAGAATAATCGATTGTGATTGGTCAATTTTTAATATTTAAAATGTTAAGTCTTAAGGTTCATCTACAGTGAGAGTAGTAAGTCGTAAGCCGTAAGAAATTGATCAATCATAGTCGATATTCTTCTCATATTCGACTGATTGGTCAATTTCTTATGGCTTACGACTTACTATTCTTGAGGGGCTGTCTTGAGGGGGGACAATACGTCGTATGTCGGATCGTAAGCCGTAAATCGTAAGAATTGACCAATCACAGTTGAATGTAAGAAAAATATTCGACTACGATTGTCAATTTTTCAGTTATCAATTTTTAGTTAGTATGATATGAGTAGTGACTAACGGCTTATTGTAGAAAGCCCCTCACTGTAGATGGACCTTAAGATTTAAGATTTAAAAATTAACAATTGACCAATCACAATCGATTATTCTTTTCACGTGAATTAAATAATCGACTATGATTGGTCAATTTTCTTAAATGTTAAGTCTCATTGTAGACGCCGCTTTAGTTTCGAAACACAATAGGTGTTGTAAGCCTTAAGCCATAAGAAATTGACCAATCGCAGTTGAATTTGAAGAGAATAAAGGATTATGATTGGTCAATTTCTTACGGTTTAAGGCTTACTATATCTATTGTGTTTCGGGACTTGAGCACAATCAAATATTTTTCTCACGTGAGATAAATAATCGATTGTGATTTGTCAATTTTCTTAAATCTTAAGTCTTAAGTCTCATTGTAGACGCCGTTTTAAGCATAATCGAGTATTTTTCTCACGTTAGGTATATAATCGATTGTGATTTGTCAATTTTCTTAAATCTTAGCCTTAATCTCATTGTAGACGCCGCTTAAAACGCATCATTTTCCACGCGCGTCTCGAAAGATATGCAATACTTTCTTCGGTCTTTGTTGTCGAATCATACTTGTGAAATTATTTTTAAATACCTTTGTTCTGTTATACATTTTGGTCGAGGGAGAGGGAGAGAGAGAGAGAGGCTGAGTAAATGTCTATTTTTAAACGTATACATTTCGAATAATCATTCTGCATGAGATGCAGAAAAACAATTTAATTTTAGAACGCATGACCTCCGTTTGTGAAAACAGGGGAAAAAAGATTATTCTCGATTCAAATATATCCGAATACATTTCGACCGTCCCTAAAAATATTCGTGCAATGAAAACAGAAAAAAAACGTTTTACAAAATTAACTTTGAAGTGAAGGGGTAACCACTCTCGAATTCCGGTATACAACCCGTCAGAATAATTCTGTTGAATTCCAGTAAAGTCCGATGAAGTCTGATAAAGTCCACGACCATGGAAGTGTAAAGTAAATACCAATTTCTAAAAAAAAAAAGGTCATTTATAGCTTTCCAATTTTTAAAAAAAGGTCATCAATTTTGACCGAGTTCTTTTGGAAAATTTCGCCGGTGTTTCCAGACGAAATCCCGAAGGTAAACATCCATAAAAGCCTAGTGAAGTCCGGCGAAGTCCGATGAAGTCTGTGAGGTCCGGTGAAGTCTTTGAAGTCAGAAGTCAGAGGTGTACATCTATTTTTCGAGTGGTTACCCCTTCTCTTTGATGCATTGTAACATGAAAACAATTGTTATCATATTATTTATAATTGAAGGTGCACAAACTACCATTATGTCCGCTGCCTGTGCCGAGAGATGCCACATTATGCGTTTGGTCGACACAAGGTGGGCTGGAGTCGCCAAGGGTGTTGGAGTACAACGTATAATCGGTCGTATACACATGGTACAAATACAGATCGGCAATGACCATCTGACAACGTCCTTCAGCGTCCTCGAGGAACAGCCTATGGACATGCTGCTGGGCTTGGACATGCTCAAGAGACATCAGTGTTGCATAGACCTGAAGAAGAATGTCTTGAAGATCGGAACTACGGGTACTGAGACTACATTTCTGGCAGAAGGTGCGTTTCAATGCGTCCCTCCTTACGAATATTTGTTGTTGCGATAAATATAATAACCACAGCCTCAGTGATTAAATAGATAAGACCTGCCTCGGCTAAGATCGGGGAAGTTCCAGATTCGAATCCTGGCTGAAGTAATATTTTTCGCAATAAATTCTTTACAGTGTTCTAAGATGCTTGTTAGCATCGAGATCGGAGATCAATTTAAGGAGGTTTCAGCGTTTGATGAAATATAAGACAAGTCCGTAATACACACATAATACGAAAGTTAATTATATTTACAATATCTAGACAAAGTTTCATTGATCTTTACCGTACCGTTTTGAAGATATTTAATTCTAAATGTATAGCATTTTACATCACAAGTATATACATTAACCTTATTTTGTAGGTATTTTCTGTTAATTTGAAACATTTGCATATAAGACAGAAATTTAAAAATTCTTACAGAATAAATATTTGAGTTCGTTTTGGTAAAGTTTCATCTGAATTGACTGTCTAGTTTGAAAGAAATTTATATTTGTTGATAATAAAAAACAAAAATATTTGTTAAATAGACATGTCAAATTTAACACAAATTATAAAACGATATATATTTGATGCATATGTAAAAATACGATAAATTTATGATAAAAAATGTTAATTTAAACCTTTTTTATTTAGATTATATTTTATTTATTATTTGTTAAGATAATAGTAAATAAATGTCATTCATATTTCATTTCCTGCTTGGTACTTAGGTCAAATGAGAATCTTATAACTTTTATTTTGTATTTTAAAAATATTTCTTAACACATTAAATTAATAACGATTATGTATAATGACATTAGTGAAACAGATATTGTTGATAATGTTTTAATATTATTATTTTAATCGTTTTACACAATTTTAAGAATATAAACTGTTTATTGACTAGAGAGTAGCGCTGGAACCTCCTTAATAGATATGTAATATTATTTCAACTTTGAGTTATGATTGTGTTCTTAAAGATCGACAGTCAGCGCGTGGTTTACGCGAGCTGAAATTTACAAGGTTTGAAAATTAAGAATATTATTAGAATATAGGGAACCAACATTTAGCCTCGATCGTATTTGGCTCTTTTCTCCCCCCCATTATTTGTTGCATACATCGGCCTTGTATGAAATTATTCTTAAGATTTAATGTTGAGGAAACTTTAGATTAAGAAATATTAGCAAATAACAATTTATTTATTAATCATTGTTTCTACAGGCGATTTACCAGAGTGCGCAAAATTGAGCGGAAACAGCGATGAATCCTTGGACGACAAGGATCTCCAGCGAGCTCTCGAGGATAGCACGAGAGATGCTAAGAAACAGAGGCAACAGCATGGTAAGTATGTATCAGCCCAGGCTATCCTCTCAATCCTTTTGTCCTTTCATTCCACTGTATCTGTTAAAACAAAAAATAATATTTTTACCTTTTCCCTATGCCTGGTCTGTTTTTTAGTACCTACTTTAGTTTCTGCCATCTCTCTCTTTCCGCCTATTTTTAAAATAAATTTAAATTACTTAAAAATAAAATTAATACAAATAATGGGCCCTGAGAGTCAAAGCTTGGTTGTTATTTCGCTCCAATATTTGACAAATTCTTTATAATATAAATGACAAACGTTTTGACCCCGAACGGGCCATTAATCCATGTTAAGAAACGGAAGTCGATTAATACATTATATAAATCAAAATTAAAATCCTTACAATACACGTGATATGTTAAATGTGCGCTCGCAGTCCGTATGTAGCGTGATCGCAGTTCAAAAATTAAATTGTGTTGGTCGTCTATATTAATGCGATCATGCTACATACGGACTGTGCGAGCGTACATTTAACATATCACGTGTATTGTAAGGATTTTAATTTTAATTTATATGATGTATTAATCGATTTCCGTTTCTTAACATTCACAATGATCCGTTCGGGGTCGAAAAAACGTTTGTTATTTATATGTTATAAAGAATTTGTTAAATATTGGAGCAAAATAACAACCAAGCTTTGGCTCATAGCCCATTATTTGTATTGATTTTATTTTGAATTATCGAGCCTTGATTTAAATATTTATTTAAATTACTTAATTTTTATTCTCGATATCGACTCGGAAATTATATGACCATTTAATTTGCATGATCGTTATTTGAAGTCTACAATATTTTGTTTACTTTTTTTTTTTTTTAACAAAGGTACAATTTTTCTCGATGATAAGTTTTTGGAAATTTTGTTAGACGGGCAAGGTACCAGTAGTCAAGGGTCGTCGAGGCCCGCTGCCTTAGAGACTACAATCTATCCTCACGACCCATTCACGGAAGCCACGGTCAAGGAATTGGAGGCCCTGGGTTTCACCAGGGCGCAAGTCATTGCGGAATTGCGTAGATTTAACGGGGACAAGACGCAGGCCACTGCCGCGCTGTTTGCGAAATCATTCAAATTTTGAAAATTATCACGTGCGATTCGAAGTACGCGAGTTATCATGAATGAACGAAGGGACACAGGCATAGAGCGAAATTGTGAATATATAATAGGCAATAAAAAAAAATGGAGGAAAACAATGTTCAAAGCAATTTTTAGGTATCATTTATAAGCGTCGTTTTCAATAAGTCGCTGTTTGATACACTTTCAGCTACAATTGACTCTCCGTTTTGTGAAATCGTTGGAATCAAATGTTAATATGAAACTTCCTTGTGATCTTCGCTTTTGTTCTAATGGTACATTCATTCGAATATCATTGGAACAAGTGTTATGCACGGTTTGTCTGTTATTCGCTTTTTGTCACATACATAGTCAAATGCGAGAGCAAGCTCGGGGAAGAATATTATTCTTTTTTTTTATTAGATTTGAGCCGATTCACAAAACGGGCAAGACCAATATGGCCATTCAGGAGATTCGATTACATTGGTCAATAGTGGTGATATCACAACATTTTTATATAGCACGGAAACAAGTTGAGGAACGTTGAAAAACAGTTGTAGAATACGCGATTCAAGATTGAACCTTACGAAATTGCATGAACGATACACAGAAGTTCCAGGTTAAGATGACAAGAAGTTATATTCGAAGTATGCTTCTTTGTATATTTTCTTACACGTACACATGCAACGCCTAATTGCATTATTTCCAAATAGTATATATATTTAAATATGTATTATTATATGCTGTGTAGCAAAGTGTTGATTAAAGGAGAAATTGAATTGTTGCGTGACCTAATACTTTAATTAAGTACAGAATGTATACTTGCGAAATATGATTATATATATATATATATATATATATATATATGTATATATATATATATATCAAGATTATGTTTGGATAACATTTGGATAATCATACGATCTTACAAAAATAAGACTTGTGTATACATAATTGCGCTGAGGAGAATCAGCATAATAATAAGCTATAAGATTTTTCTACACACCTCGATACATATATCTTTTACGATAATTTTATAATTTTTCATTTAAATGGTGAATACAGACAAATGTGTGTATATAGATATATACATATATATATATATATATATATGAATATGTATATGTATATATCTAGTATTAATAGACTCTAAATAAATCGAACATGAAATGGGATAGACAGAATCTTTGCGCTAGGATATCGACGTTATAGTTTGATAATATTTCGAAGACGTGAATTTAATGTTGGACTCAGCTCAAACTCAGTTCCTTATTATTTACTGAAGAAACGTTGACTTTGTACATAGAATGATAGTAACAGGCGAGTAGAAGGAAATGATAACAAGCGAATAGAAATTTTCCATGTTTTTTACAAAATATTTGTTACGATAGCAGTTGCGAAGTATAAGTGTCTTCTACACAGGTGTGTATCAAACTTACAAGTAATGTCGATTTTATACTGCTGCTATTTTTCTTTTGACACGGTATTTGGTACATTATTGTATAATTCTTTTATCATGTAATAAAAAACATGAACAATAACGACTTGATTTATTTATCGACTGACCATTCAACTAATTTAGCAAAAGTTAAGCGATAATAATATGCATCATATAATTTATAGTGTATGGGTGTGTGTGTATTGTAATTCTATTTTATATTCAATTTGCACTTTAAAATTATATTTTTTTTGTGATATTGAGGTCTTAGTAAAAAAAATCTAATAAGAAAAAGGAAAAAAAGTCACACTTATAACTTTCATTCGTCATATTTGTATTTTATCTCTTATTGTTAGAATAAAATATAATAATATATAGTACATTAGATATAGTAAAATATAGTATATACTATACAGGGTGTCCCAGAACTGGCGTAACGCCAGAAACCAGCGTATTCTCCGTGAAATTCTAAGACAGAAAATTCTTTACCAAAACGCGATCCGATGAATAGAATTTGAACGGTAAGCTATTGAAGTTCACAAATGGGCGCGCGTGGAATTCGCGCGGTCAGGATCGGCACGACCGAGACTGGCGCGATATACT